GCCCGCGGCGGCAGCCGATGCGGACAGCGGCTCTACACGCGGTTCCGCCGACAGCAGCACCAAGAAAGGGCAGAGCGGCAGAGGCCGGGGGCGGCGGCAGCCCCCAGCGGCCCGGGGCGCGGACGACACGCCCGCCTTCCCCCGACACAAACCCCCAGGCCTGCGTGGAGGCAGCCCCCAGAGGCGCAGCGCTTCGGGTCATCAGCCCCCCCCAGGCCCATCTGGGGGGAGGGCGTCACATCCCGCGCAGGGGCCCGCCAGGGGGACACTCACAGGGCAGCCCATCCCAGCGTCACTGGGGCAGGCCAAACATCGACAGGAGGGCGGGCAGGTCCCGCGCGTCGGCCGCCCCGTAGGCGTCGCTCTGGCCCAGCATGGACAGCGCCAAGCGCAGGGTGCTCCAGATGTTCTCCGACATGGCGCCCCCCTGGCCGCGAGGGCCCCGGCTCTTCCGCTGCATGCTCAGGGCCTCCAGGAAGTGTTCCACAGCCTCCCTGGAAGGAGAGAGGAAGGAGAGCTGAGAGCGGCAGCGGACGGAGGCCGGCCGGTCAGCAGGGAGGGAGCGCCCGGGCTGAGAATCCAAGGCAGGAGCGCTGGCCCGCGCGGTGGCTCACGCCTGGGAGCCCTGCACTTCGGGAGGCGGAGGCGGGAGGACTGCCAGAGCCCAGGGCTCGAGACCGCCTGGGCAACCTGGCGAGACCTCCTCTCTGCCATAAATCAGAAAATCAGCTGGGTGCCGTGGCGCATGCCTGTGGTTCTAGCTCCTTGGAAGCGAGGCCGAAGGACCGCCTGAGCCCCGCAGGTCGAGGCCGCAGGGGCGTGAGTGTGCCACTGCACTCCGGCCTGGGCGACAGAGTGAGGCTCCAGCTCTCTTCCGACACCAAAAGCCGCAGGAGAGAAGTCTTTTCCTTCCTTTCGCAAGAGGCGCTCTCACCGGTGAGCGCCAAGGTTGATGCAGCTGATGCCCAGGTTATAGCGGGACCGGATGTAGCCAGGCTGCAGCTCGAGGGCCCGGCGGTATGCCGCTACTGCCTCTTCGCTCTGGTTTCCATTGGCCAGGGTGGCCCCCAGCTTGTTCCACAGCAAATAATCCTGGGACGGAGATGGAGAGAAAAGGCTCCGGTCAGGTTCAGCCGGCCGGCCCCTGCTGCATGCTCAGCTGACATGTGCCACCGCCCCAGTCTCTTCCCGGCAGCTCCACGTGGGGCCGCAGGGCAAGCCCTCCCATCCGCTGCAGGCTCCCTCACGCCCAGACGACCTGGACTTCCACCTTTCCTCTCCCAACCCCCACAAGGCAGTCAGTGCACAGGACGCTGGAGGGACCCAGCTCCGGCTCCGAGCGTCCCAGCGATGACTCCACTGTCCATCAGGTGCAGGGTCACACCCCATGCCCACTCCTGCCTCGGCTCACATTGGGACGGACGCTGAGGGCCGCAGTGAAGCAGTCCACTGCCTTGTCATACTCCCCACTCAGGTTGAACAGGACTCCGAGGCCACACTGCACGTCAGGATCAATGGAGGCAGGGTCCAGGCGCACAGCGGCCAAGAAGAGTTCTTTCACTTCCAGAAACAGGGAGCTGGACGAGGAGGAAAACAGGCATGGAGGCCGATGGCTACGTCTATGCTCCCAGCCCCGACTACTCAGGCGGTCGGCCTCGCCCCAAGAGGCGCCGTTCCCTCAGCCTTCCCTTCCACTCTCATTCCAATGGAGCCCGTCTGCCTGCTCTGTGCACTGCAGAACACAAGCCTCCTTCACACACGCCAGGGCTCCCGAGCCTCAACCCAAAATCAAGGTCGCCCTCCCAGCGGGGCTCGGTTCCTGGATCCCACAGGCCCTCACACTCACTCCGACAGCAGAGACCCCAGGATACGCTTGCTGGGGCCCAGTCCAGCCCCACCGGCCCCTTCTTCGCCGCGCGCCACCAAGTGGGCGTAGGCCGGCGTGTAGCGAAGCCAGTCTCGCAGGGTCTCACAGGCCTGTCGCTGCAGGGACTCGTTGGTGAAGCTCACGGCCAGCGCCATCAGGGCCGTCCGGTTGTCCGGCTTCAGCTCCAGACACCTGTTTGGACGGGGATGGGCAGACTTGGTACAGCTGCCGCAGCATGACACTGGCCCACACAGGCCCCAGGATCCCAGCCAGGACACAGAGTCACGAGAGCCTCACCACCAGCCCCTCACACGGAGACGCAGAGGACTCCTCTGACACGTGAGCCAACCCTAGCCCTACAGACTTCAGAAGGGGAACGTCTTCCACATCCAAGGGGCCACCAGGTCTCCATACGTAAGCAAAACCAAAAGCTGCCCAAGGAGTGGAGCCACTCCCTCAACTCACTCCAGCCTCAGAGTTCATCCTGAGAAAGCACGCACCAGTGCTCAGAAAGGAGCCAGGGGTGCGGGTCTGGGTGCCCATCACTCCGCAGGCTCTTTGCAGAGCCTGGACCCACGCAACCCCACTGCTCAGCGTACTCACCTCCGCAAGGCGCTGATGGCTAACAGTTCTTGCTCATTCTCCGCCTGGGTGGTGCCCAGATACTGCCAAGCCTAGAGGGGAGTGGACAGACCCCGGCACCCTGTATTCACCAGTCTGTCCTCCCTTCCCCTAGCTCCCCACTCACCATCTCACTCGCCATGCCCTCCAAGGCCGTCACCGGGCCCTAACACATCCGCACTACTCGCTCTGGGGCCTCCTCAAGCTGGAGGAAGGAGTCCAGAGCCAGAACCTGCGACCCCCGGCTGGGCATGGTGGCTCACACCTGCAATCCCAGCGCTTTGGAAGCTGGGGTGGGAGGATCACTGAGCCCAGGAGTTGGACCAGCCTGAGCGACAGAGTGAGACTTCGTCTCCACAAGAAAAACCGAAGAACTCACTGGGAAAGGTGGCGTACACCTGCAGTCCCAGCTACTCCGCAGACAGAGGAGGAAGGACCGCCTGAGCCCAGAAGCCTGAGGCTGCGGAGAGCCGCGATCATGCCGCGGCACTCCGGCACGGGCGGCAGAGGGGGACCCCGGCCTAGAGCAAAAGACCAGAGCGAGCCACTCACTTCCATGTGCTTGGGGTCCTGCTGCACGGCCGCCTCAAAGAGCAGCACGGCGTGGGGCAGGTCCCCGTCCTGAAGCCGCCGCAGCCCCTCTTCAAAAGGCTGCGGGTGATCGCGCAGGGGGTTCTCCTCCTCAAACTGGTACCCCTGCAAGGGAAGCACAGGAGACGTCGTCGGCGAGAGTGCTGCCGTCAGAGCAGCAGGGATGAAAAGAGGACCACGATGCAGGTGCGGAAGCTGAAGGCCTCCAGCCAGGGCCCTGCCTCGAGTGCTGGTGAAGTCTCTGTGCTCTAAACATCCTCTACGACCACAGTAAGTCATCAGTAAGTCAGTATCAGGCTCATGCTGCCATCTCCTGCTCACACTAACTGGAAAGCCAGGCACACTCGGCACCCACGCAGGAATACACTCATTTTAGGACATCTTTGTGGGCTCACATACCACATCGTTGACTGCCCACCACCGGACAGAACACGCTTCCAGCAGGACCTGCAGCCGTGATGAGATAAACTCTCCTTGGCTATTCAAAGTACACTTCTTGTTATCCTTGAATAACGTAATAACATGGACAAGAATGTGGCTAAATGCTACTCTTATCGAGCTCATGAGTCACCGTATGCGCTGACTAGGAGACGTGTTCAGGCACTTTGGAGATTTTCACATCCTCCCCAATTCTACCTTAGGAATTATGAATACTAATCTGTATCTGCTAATAAGTGAAAGCTGGATTCCCAAAGACACTGTTCTCTTGTAGCTGAGGAGCTCTCACTTTAAGAAGCATGATGAGGCTGGGCTTGGTGGCTCAGCCCATCATCCCAGCTCTTTGGGAGGCCGAGGTGAGTGGACTGCCTGAGCCTGCATGATTGAGACCAGCCCGGGCAACTTGGCAAAACCTCATCTCTACAATAAATCAAAAATTAGCTGAGCATGGTAGCACATGCCTGTAGTTCCGGCTACTTGAAGGATGAGGTGGGAGGATGGCCGGAGCCCAGCAGGTAGACAATGGGGTGGCCATGAGCGTGCCACTGAGCTCCAGCCTGGGCGACAGAGTGAGGCTTCAACTCAAAAAACAGAAAAAAAAGCAGCATGATGACACTCTCCACAAAGCTTTGTCAAGCTTTTACACCAAGCAGGTAAGAAATAAAAGGGAAGTCACCAGCAATCTGTATGACAGGACAAATGAGTAAAATGTCCCTTTTTCGAGGGAGTAAATAGTTACTGGCACAAAACCAAATACCAGAATATAAAACCAGGTAGGGCCTTTCCAAATGCAGGTAAGAACCAACTAGATGAAGCTGTCCATAATAAAGACAGAAAGCACTGTTTCATTATTATTGTGAACTGATGAAGAATCAGAAACACTTAAATCTGACCAGCAAAGTTCTAAGCACTGTAAGTCTCAGTCATCAGATACAAATTATGTCACAAATGAAAATTAAGTAATAACAATGGGAGCTTAAGAAGAAAAATACATTACAGATTTGAGAGAAATGTATAAAAAGTATATTCATACTGAAAACAGACATGTTCTTGAGACATCTCTGCGCAGCATACAAACTCAGAGGGCAGAAAATGAGCCTGGGCCAGGGATCAGAACTGTCTTCTGTGAAGGGCTGGATAACAAGCAGCTCAGGCTCTGCGGTCTGCTGCTGCTACTCAGCACCACCACTGCAGGGAGAAAGCAGCCACCGACGCCACGGTCTGTACACAAGCGAGCATGGCTGTGTTCCAACAAAACTTCACGGACACGAAAACTGAATCTTATACAACTTTCACGTGTCACAGAATATGACTCCTCTTGTGACCTTTACCAACCATTTAAAATGCTGGCCGGGCTCGGTGGCTCAGCCTGTAATCCCAGCACTTTGGGAGGCCGAGGTGAGTGGATTGCCTGAGCCCGCGGGTTCGAGACCTGCTTGGGCAACTTGGCAAGACCTCATCTCTACAATCAAAAATCAAAAATTAGCTGGGTGTGGTAGCACGCGCCTGTAGTTCCAGCTACTTGGAAGGCTGAGGCGGAAGGATCGCCGGAGCCCAGCAGGTCGAGGCTGCGGAGGCCGGGAGCGGCCACTGCACTCCAGTCTGGGTGACAGAGTGAGACTCCAACTCAAAAATAAATAAATAAAATGCTAAGGCCATTCTCGGCTAGCGGGTCATATAAAAACAGGTGGCAGGCAGATGTATTCCCCAGGCCACGGTTTGCTGATCCCTGCCCTAGAACGTGAGAGTCCGTAAGACAAATCCTTCTGCATTCAACCTTGACTACTGTCCATCGTCAACATGCACAGAAAACAGAGATTACTGTCATCCGCGATGCAATTTTCAGATGAGAGTAAGTCCTGCCTCTCAGAGTCACCAAGGCCATCAAATGAGGACAGTCACCAAAGCCTTCCCAAAAAGCTTAGAACATGCTCTGTAAACAGGTATTATCCTCATTATTCTGGATGTGCCCTAAGATAGAGTAGCCTGTGTGTGACAGCCAGGCGTGACATGACGGCTCTTCACGTGTCTCCACCAGACAATGCAACCACTCAGGGCCATCACTGGGCAGCCACAGTTCTCTACATGTCCCCTTGTCCACACTGTCCTCCCTGAGGTCTCATCAACTACGCACTGAAGAGAACTTTTCAAACTTCAAACATTTGCTTAGATGGGAAAAAAGTACTCCAGAGGAACCCTCAGCAGCCCACAGCATCCTTGGTCAGCTTGGCATTGCTGCTACATCCTGAAAAGCCCAACCCAAGCTACCCGTGATGTCTGATCCATCTGACCCATCCATCTGGTCTGTTTCAAAATCTCACAGGAACACGCTGCAGAAACAAGATCGCTACAAACTGTTTTTTTATGGCAAAAGTATGTGAAACTTGCTTGAGCCACAGGGATAAGTTGCTTTAAGAACCATCACTCCAAAAATCAGTACATTCCAAGGGACCCATGAATTTATCTAGCAATCAAGAGTCAGATTCACATGTTTACAAGTGCAATTGACATATAACTTAATGTGAGTTAGCGTAAAGCCAGATCGAATCTAAATTGTTCACGACAGCAATGTGTTGTGGCCCATTAATGCAAGTGTTTTTGTTTTTTGCTTTTTTGAGTGGGATCTCACTTTATCACCCAGGCTGGAGTACAGTGGCACAATCACAGCTCACTGCAGCCTTGACCTCCTGGGCTCAAGTGATCCTTCCACCTCAGCCTCCTAGGTAGCTGAGACGACAGGTATGTACCACTATACCCAGCTAATTTTTTTATTTTTCTGTAGAGACAAGGTCTAGTTATGTGGCCCAGGCTGTTCTCAAATTCCTAGACTCCAGCAATCCTCCCACCTAGGCCTCCCAAAGTGCTGGGATGACAGAAGTGAGTCACTGTGCCCAGCCTAATGCCAGGTGTTTAGAATCCTAATTTTGCAATATCTGAAGGTATCATTGGTATCAAAGAGGGCTCAATAATCTAAAATCCTAATTGTATTTTCAAGTTTTTAATTATACAAGTGTTCTGTCCAGCATGCCAGAAGTCTGAGTAGGAAATGCTCAAAGGAAAGGCTGCACACGGGAAACCAGCACTACGTCCACATCCGTCAAAAGCACAGAAACATATCGAAGACGTGCATCGTGCCCTCTGTTAAGCTGATGGGCCTCTGCAGCTTGTCACACTGCTAACAGAGAAGAATAAAAGGGCTGCCTCTAGGCATGTCCTTCAGTGCTTCCTTGCCAGAATTCCACAGAAGGAACTCTCACATGGAAAACAGGACCAAGGCCCCAAGAAGCAAGCTCTCTAGTCCCTTAGATCACACAGGATAAACGAGCCTGAATAGCTCACTCAGGAGAGCCTCAGACTTTCAATCTGATAAACGAGCCTGAATAGCTCACTCAGGAGAGCCTCAGACTTTCAATCTGAGGGTCTAGGGTTCAAGTCCCTGTTCAGGTGCTACCTGGTAGTTTTGTTTCAGCTCATTTAGGTCTAACATGAACAACCTACTAAGGATCATCTTGAGGAGAGGGGAAATACCAGAACAGTTAAAACAGAGAAACATGTGGCTGTCCCCCTTCCCAGTAGTAACTGAAATACCTCTCCAAGTTCCCAAGGGAAATGAAAGAGGACAACTGCGTTAAAAGACATAAATCAGTGAAACGGGAAATGATCACACAGGATCGTTCTCGGAAGAACCCAGGAGCTTGGATTGGATAATGAGCAAAATCGGATTGGACAATAAGCAAAAATATGTCCAGATCCCTCCCCAGCACTCTGCTCTACCTCTCCGGTCCTGTTCTAGCCCAGAGTCCTTTCCCAAGCAGATCTGAGCTGAGAAAAAGGCATCAGCAGGCAACGCCCAGATGCTGTTTTGCCTTGTTTCAATACCAAGCAACTATGTCCCACTACCCTCAAGCTTCAACTCCGTCACTAAACACATCTCCAAATACCCTATGGCCCACAGGCCAATTTGTTTCTTTAGAGCGAGATCCTGACCTAACACATGCTTCTAATTCAACAGCATGTGTCCCAATGCAAAATTCAATCATGTTTCACCCAACTACTGGGAAATTTTCCTTACTTAAATAATTTAATATAATTCTCTGAAAAGTCTGAATTGGGGCAAATGGCTAGTACCTATGAGAAGGGATTAGAACTTAAAATGAATTTGCGAGTATAATAAGTAAACAGAACTTTGGGAGACCGAGATGGGAAGATTTCTTCAGCCCAGGAGTTTGAGACCAGGCTAGGCAACATAGCAAGACCTCGTCTCAACAAAAAAAATTTTTTTAATTAACCAGGCATGGTGGCATGCACCTGTAGTCACAGCTACTCAGTAGGCTGAGGCAGGAGTATCACCAGAGCTCCGGAGGTCAAGGTTGCAGTGAGGTGTGACTGTGCCACTGTACTCTAGCCTAGGTGACAGAGCAAGACACTACACTCAAAAAACATACACACACGCGCGCGCACACACACACACACAAAAAGCAAACCAATATTAAGGTGTGGAGGCAGAGAGACAGTCCATCAACTGCCACTCCTCAGCAAAGGAGTTAGAAATCATCTCAAAATGTTCCACTCTGAGCTCCAAAGCAAAGCGACTTCTGCTGTGCGCTGAGGCACACGTGCAGCCCCCTCCACAGGCGCAATGTCCCTGCAGCGCTGTCATCGGACAAGGGCAGCGTCTGAACCTCTATTTCCCATTCCATCACCGGAGGAAAGTGGGGGCAAGGGAATGATTCAGACCTCCTTTCGTGGAAAGGGACTCAAGAAAACAACTACTTTTTTTTTTTAGATTAGAAAACATGGTTTATTTTGAAAGCAAATTTGAGAGAGAAAGAGATTCACCTCCTCAAGGTAGTGGAAGGGGCCAAAGCTGAAGCAACATGGCCGAGACAATAACTACTTAAGAGTGAACAGCCAGGCTCGGTGGCTCAGCCTGTCATCCCGCGCCTTTGGGAGGCCGAGGAGAGTGGATTGCCTGAGCCTGCGGTTCGAGACCCGCCTGGGCAGCGAGACCTCATCTCTACAATAAATCAAAAAAT